ATATAGGAATCTTAATCAAGATAAGAAGAAGGCATTTGTTAATCAACAAAAGCTAAGGACTGGCTTATTGAATATATTCTTCATTATTCTTGTTATATTTACTGAATGGTTTATATTAAGATTCTCACCTCAACATATGAACCCTGATGATAGTCTATATGATGCCTTTGTTGGTGTAGTATCTATATGGGATGCAACATCAGTATTGGATTGGATTATATTCCTTGATGTTCTATTGGATATTATATTATTCGGTTGTGCTATGTTTGTGGTTAAATGGCCTAAGAAACCAGTATTTGCTGAGCATATGCAAGAGGAGCTTAAGGCTAGTATACCTAAGGCAATACAAGAAGAAGAAGAAGAAGAAGAAGAGAAGGTGCATTTACAGTTGGATGAGGATGATGATGATGAGGAGGATGATGATGATATGACACCGAGGTCGATGTTAACTGCTCCTAGTGATGAATCTGAGACTGTTGACTTTGTATTAAGTCAAGGTATGACAAGGGAAGTATGCCTAATGATAGCATGTCATCAATCTACTATGACTGAGGAACGGTATGAGACCTTTACTGCTACATTAAGGGCAGCATTAATGGTATTCCCACCTAGTCATATATTTGTATGTGATAATGGTGTATCACCAATACCTGTAGATGATAATCAATGGGCTACTCAACAGGTACATCCTGATATTAACTATTTATATGTACCTGAGGGTAATAAGACATTTGCCTTTTATTGGTGTAATAAATATTGGATACCTTATCTTGTCCAAAATGGTAGAGTAACCGACTTCAAATATGCTGTTATTATTGATGATGATGTACCTCTACCACCAGATCTACATATACCACATCAACTATTGGATCAGAACCCCAATATTAAGGCTGTACATTTTCCTATTACTGCTACTACACCTGATGGTAAACCTAATCTATTGGTACAATGCCAGGATATTGAGTATAAGATTGCTGGTCTCCATAAACTATTCCAGGCTACTCTTGCTCGTTCATTAAGTTGTCATGGTGCTGTAGCCTTATGGGATAGGGAAACACTTGATGAGATATTCTATGAGCATGATACTGTATTTAATGGTGAGGATATGTATATGGGTTTATCATTATTGAGGAAGAGAGATGACTCTAAGATTATATCATCAGCTCAGGCTATTGTACCAACCTATGCACCTGATAATTGGGGTATGCTATT